GGGCCAGGATGTAGTTCAGTGGCGCTGCACCTGCCTTGCAAGCACAAGGTCCTGAGTGTAATCCCTGGTATTGCAAAAAAAAAAAAAAATAGAGCTCATAGGAGGACCTAGCACATTGTCACTAGGTGGGGGTTGCTCCTATCCCTTGTCCCAAGTGGGCTTTGCGTGGTCCTTCCTCAGTCTGCAACGGGAGAACAGCCCCAGCTTTCCTAACTACCATCCAGCAGGGGCGGCTCGCACTGTTCCAACCCTTTAGGCTGTGTTTTGTGTGTTGGCTGTGTTGTCCTCCAGCAGCCTCCAGAAAGGGCACTGCTTTGTCACAGCCTGTTCTGACACGTTCCCAGAAAATGGGCTCAGGGAGGCCCCTCCGGCCCAAGAGCAGCCAGCCTGCCTCTGAAGTGCCACCCTGGGCTACGATTACTGCCTGGAGGGTTTGCTGGGAGAGAAGCAGCTGTGGCAGTGCGCAATGTCATCCCCGGCCTGTCTCTCTCTCTTGCTACAGGCAAAGAAACATGGCAGCAAGGCGGATTGCACAGGAGACTTTGGATGCTGTACTGCAAGAAAAAGCCAAACGGTTTCATTCGGACCCTAGTGGTGAGGCCATAGGCGAAACTCTCCCATTTAAAGCGCAAGGTTAGTGGCGGTGACTTCCAAAGGGAGAGGGTGCCTCTGTTGGGTTACCGCGTCCTCACCCGAGTGTGTGAGGGCAGGCAGAGGGGAACTCCTAGTAACGCGCCTCTGCTGAGTCCTGGCGCCATCAGCAGGGTCGGAGCTGTGCCCACTGGAAGCTGGGCAAGATGGAGGATGCGCTCCCACATTCACATTCAATTGCAGAGCCCCTGGGGGCTCTCCCTGCCCCAGATGCGTACCCCGCCCTCCCCCCTGCCCTGGCCTGTGCCAAGGAGGGAAGGTGCCTCCTGTTGGAGAGTCTCCGAGGGAGGGTAATAAATGCATCTCTGCACCTGGGAAATTGAGGCTTGGAGATCATCTCTGGATTCTGGGATTTCCACAGTCCAGGGCTGTGGATGCAGCTAGGGGCGGGTAGGGGGCTGGCTGCTCCCCGTGAGGCGTACACAAAAGGATTTCATAGAGTGGAACAGTTATAAGTATGGGGTGGGGGAGTCCCCTCGGCTCCCTGTACCTGACCTGTCTTTGGCATCCTGCACTCATTTAGCATTTCATCTGCATCGCTGTAATGTTCAAGCATTTGTACGCACGGGTGTAGATCTTGGTTCTTTAGAGACTTGAGCTGGAGTACATAACTTTTTTGTTAATTTGTCTCAAGGCTGGGTCTCACAGTTCTTTGTTCTGTTTGTTTTGTTTTGTTTTTGGTACCAGGGATTAAACTCTGATCCTTGGGCTTTCCAGGCAGGTGGCAGAACCACTGAGCTAAATCCCCGGCCCTGTTTGTTTTGTTTTTGAGACAGGGTCTCAACTGTGTAACACAGGTGAATTTACTATAATACTGCTGCCTCAGCCTCCCAGGTGCTAGGATTCTCATCGTGCACCATCACACCTGCCTTTGCTGTGTACAATATTATAGGCCGACATTTAACTCTTCACATAGCCCAGGCTGGTCTCAAACTCACACTGGCAATCCTCCTGCCTCAGCCTCCCAGTAACTGGGATTATAGGCATGAGCTATCAGGCCTGACAATATCTTAGTTACCTTGAAAAAGCAACAACTGGTGGGGTGAGGGCTGGCGCCCTAGCAAGATGCTGGCTGCGTCCAGAGCATCTGTCACGAAGCTGCACAGCCTACCGGTGCGTTTTGTGTCGCTGCTCCACTCTGAACTGTGCCCTTTTCTCCTAATTGGAGCACAGAAAGATGCCATGCAGAACCCAGCTGCCGCCCCTGCTTCTGATTCCCCCGCCTTGTCACCCTGGCTGCCTTCCTAGAGTTCCCATGGCTTCCACTGCCCCCTGATCCTCTTGGTCCTTGTGGAAAGCCTGGAGCCTGGGTCAGATGAGGCTGTCCAGGACGAGGTCCCCTGTGGAGTCTGCCCTTCTGCCACGTTGCCTGTCATCCCTCTGCTCCCTTCTGGCCACATGGGCCCCATGGCCCTGGCCTGGGCCTTTGTCCTGCCACTCTGTCTGGATGGCTTCTTCCTGTCACCCCACCGCCTGGCCCCTGTCCCTGGGCTGCACTCTGCCCTCCGGGACTAGACTGGCCTCAGAAGGTGTCCCGTGCTTGAGGCCCTCCTGCTTGGCGTCTTCTCCGTGTTTGCTGACCCTGACCCCTCTCTGTCTGTTTTTGGCTCTTTGAGCTGCGAGGCCAGCAGAATTTGCCCTCCCTGAGCAACATGGATGCCTCCTGTGTGCAAGTGCATGCTAGACACTCAGTAAGGACTCCTTAAAGAAAGGAGCTTGGTTTTGCCCAAGGCCTTGGCTTCTTGTGGCCTCTCAGCCTGTTACTACCTCCTGGCACACCCCGTCTCTCTCCTTGTCTCTGGGTTTTTTTTACTAGCTTGTAGGGCCTGATTGTAAACCCAGAGTATGAGCAAGACACTCCCTGAGACCTGCCGATGCCCGCTGTCCCGTGTGCCAGTCCGCTCCTCTTAGCTTCTTAGGGTTGCCTTCCATGTGAGGAAGCAGCTGCCAATATGTTTCCCCTTCCCACATCAGGAGGATGTCCAGGCCCAGCGGGCCTCGCTTAGTATAGCTGGCGAGTCTCGTGCCTTCCCTCCTGCCTGCATCTCCAGAGCGAGTTGATTGGCCCCGCAAAGCTGTAATTTCAGCCATTTGGATGTCACCTCCTCTGCTGTGACAGGCGCAGTGGGCCGCGGCTCCCACCTTTTGGTGACACCGTGTGTGAGAATTCCTCCTGGGAGGCCTTGAGCACGGGCAGCCTTGGTGAGGTGTTCCAGTTGTAGTGCAGAGGTCCCGTTTCAGCCAGCTGTGTGGGTGCGCACCGTAACACAGGGCTCTGGGAGGCTGAGGCAGGAAGATCAAAAATTTGAGCCCAGCCTAGGCAACTAGAGACTTATCGAGGCCCAGTATCAAAATAAAAAATGAAAAAGGGCTGGAGGTGTAGTGCAAAGGCTCTTGGACTTGATCCCCAGTGCTGCACAGGCACAGACACAAGAAAAGACTTACAGGTTTTATGGGAACCAAGCACCCTTCCTTTGGTCTAAAGCAGGTCCCTGGGGAGGGAGCGGAAAGGGATAAGACTGCATGGGTCTTGGGGGCTGTGGGCGGCCGTCTAGGGCATGGCCCTGCCTGGCGTCACTGGCCGTAGTTGGCTAGATGCAGGTCAGGCTCGCCCAGACCTTCCGCAGGCCTTGATCTCGAGCCCACAACCTATGTGCACTGTGTCCCTGAGCCCCTGGGGGTGGCTTCTGCCGGCCACGCCGTCAGCGCTTGTGAGTAGCTGCTGAAGTGTGTCGTGGGGAGCAGGGCAGAGGCCCTACACACTCACCACCTAGTGCGTTTCTCCCGTCTGCGCGGTCTCAGAACCAGGCCCAGCTGTGTCCCAGCCAGTGCCTGGAGTGACACCTCGCACACTCAGCCGAGCTCTGCCTTTTCCAGGAAGCACTTCTGCCTGGCTCTAACTGCCTGCCTGTTGCTTTCTGGGTCTTCTGTTTCAGATCTCTTGAGGACGGTTCCGAGGTCCAGAGCAGAGATGTTTGGCGACACTCACGGCGATAGATTCGCCCTCAGTGGATCCTCGGCTCACTCCCGTGATGCCAGCAGAGAAGGCCTGCGGGGTGACGCCTTCCCAGGACCGTCCTTCCGGTCGAGCAGTGCTTCCATCAGTGACGACAGCTACTTTCACAAAGAGGGCAGCCGGGATCAGGAATTTGCCCCCACTGACTCACGAGAGCAGGCTCTTAGCCACCGGAAGCTGGGACATTTCCATTCTCAGGACTGGAAAGTGGCTCTCCGTGGCTCTTGGGAGCAGGACGTGGGCCACCCAGTTTCTC